TTTTATCCAAAACTTGCATTAATAACAGTATTAGCATATTTTCAGACTCATGAGCAAAGTAAACTCTGTAGAAGTCGGTGACATTTAACTAAGTATGGACAAGCGCTAGTGTTATAAACAAGGCTGCGTAACACTGAGAAAGTACAATCAGTCGGTCGATTTACACAGCTCGCTTCTACTTGCACATCAACATTTCTCTGGGGAAAAGAATACAGAGGAGTAGCCGTCAAAACGTTTTACAACTTCTAAAAGCTGCCTAGAGCATTGTATGTATGTAGTTTAAGCACTGAGATCTAAAGTAAAGTGTATAATTATTATTAATTGGTAAAAAACACACAAAAAAAACATCTAACCACAATGTTGCTGAATGACCTTTAGATAGATAACTAAGATTTCCCTTTACCATGTATCATGTGTCCTGATGCACGACAACAACAGATGAAAGATTTCCAAAGTGCCAAAAGATTTAGCATTCATCTTATGCACCATTGCTTTTATATATCAGGGACTCTTAAAGGGTGAGAAAGGGAAAGCTGTGTTGAACTTAATTACTCAAGACAAATACTTTAATCAACGAAATGAAGATGAAGGCTGATTAACGTTAACCAGCTAGCTCGCTAATTTACCCAACTTTTTAGCTACTGTTAGTCCCAGTGCTGTGCTGTCAGAACGAGCAAAGCAAAAGGTGCTTGATGCTCTGATGTTGACTGGTTGCGTTCATCTAGTAATTTACTGCCTTCTTGTGGCTGCAGCAGGCTATTGTTTCTGGAAGCTAGCTTGACTACCAGCTGTTATATTTATTGTCTCTGTCATTTTTGTTGGTGTGGCAGTGTCCTGTTGACAAAGGCTGGGGAAAGTTAAGGGGAGGGGAGAGCAGTGTTTTTTTAGAGGTTTGTAAATTGAAGATAATCCTTGGATCTTTGATGGGTGACTTGCTATAGCTAGCTAGAGACAACAGCACTGTCCTTAATTCAGCTTCCAAAAATTTACTTCATTGGTCTTTTCTTCATAAGGAGCAAGTTACACTGTGATTTATCATCTCAAATCAATATAAATTGTCTTACTAATCACATGTGTGACGACGAGGAGTTAGGGTGTAATGTGCGGAAGCTTTTAATAAATGCTTTTGCAAGAAAAGCATTTATCACATTAATATCTTTTTCTTTCTGTTAATCGAGGTTTAGGGTTCTCTGATCTGCAGTGAGTTTGAGGCGGCAGATTGAGGCAGGAAAATACGGGGTTCTGCATTTTCACTGGAGTGTATCGCTGTCAGTTAATGATAATTATTTGGAAGGTTGCCATAGAAGTTATTTTTGTTTTTGATATTTTTCCTCAATACTGCAGATTTGATATGTTCACTGTCACTTTAAAGGAATGATCCTCATACTTCTTCAGCAGGTGAAGATGTCCAGGCAGAGTGCAGCAGGAGAGACTGTCAGCACAGGAAAGGTAGGCAGCACAAAATCAGGAGATATGACAAGCCCTGAACTTCAGAGAGATTTTTACTGCTGTCATGAAAAGGTATATTTTAGTCTGGTCCATTTTTCTTGCCGGTGTTGTAAACGGCTGAATCACACATTGAGATGGTGTTTGTTGAAAGGGAGTAGTTGGTTCTTCAGCTCTGTTTGCTTAAAGTCACCGCACATCACTTGGTAGTTCTGCTTTCACTATTACTGAGCACATTTCCCATGTTTCTAGTGGAGTAGGCATTAAACCTGTTTGATTTGTCATGATATTGTGTGGAAATATACCGGGATTGGAACAGGTGCAGAATTGTGGCAGTACCTAACATGTTATTGCAGCTAGCAAGTTTCTGAGCCATCAGCGTGAGCAGGCGGCCTTCATTAGCCTGTGAATCCTATCACAGCATGATAACTCACTTTTAATGGAAAAGAATGAATGCATTTTAATATATTTGTAGCAGTGCTTTAAGAGTAGTTATTAAACTGCCAATAACTGCTTAGGTCGCATGATGACAACTGAGCTATCTCCATGACAGCAGAGCAAAAAAGACCATAAGATGTGGCTGAAAGCTCTGGAAAAGGCTTTTTAAGTTGTTAAACTGAGAACTCTGTCTGTCTGACTCTGAGACAGCTTGCTAACATTCAAATTCTTGTTTTCAGTCACACTGCTACTACACAGCACAGTTTTACACGATCAGTCATGATTTACAGCAGTCACTGCATGCATCCTGGGGATGTCAGCCTCTCTAACACTGCTGTTGATTTTTGACTTGCACTGCATGAACTCAGATGCAGTGAAGAATACAAAGATAAAAAACAACCTGTTTAATATACAACAGCACAGAAGTTTGAGTGGTTATCTGAGTAGCACCTGTCGACGGTGGTTGCAGCAGATTTAATCAAAGTAACCATAGTGGATCTAGCATGCATAATTGTGTTTGATTATGTGTGTCACACTCAAACCGGAGACTGCAGGTGGATGAATTTTTCCACCGGTATGCACCTCTATGAAATGTTCTGTAAAAACATTTAATGCAACCAACCGACAACCATTATTGAAAACCTTATATATAAGACATTTCAAAAATACCTCTAGCTAAAGGTCACCACAAAGAAATATATGGCAGATTGAGCTCTAGAATAGGCTTCTCATTCACCCCACCAAGTCCCAGAGTGGAGCTGGACGTGACACACAAAGAGAAAATGAGAGCGGCACAAACTGGGGCCACAGTCAGAAGTTTTGGGCCAGTTTTATGGCTGCTCAGCATTTCTCTATATAAGCAGCCCCACAGTGTCGCAACAAAGCTAAATGTGGTCCATTTAAGTCCACGGAGAAGCTCATGAACTAACCAACCACAGCGGAGGAGAGACAAGGTGTAAAACGGTTTAAGGGAGAGATGTGGAGGCCAGCTCTGGTGTGTTTAAGAGGCGGTTGTGAGCATATACCGCATATACCTCTCCACAGACTACAACAAAAAGACAATACATGAAGTACCTCCATTTATTCATAACTGCTACACTTGCTGGGATGAATGTAACATGCAAATGCAAACCCCCCTGGCAGTAGAAATGCAATTAAAGTAAGCTAGCCTGCTAGCAAGGTTAGTGCTGCTGGTAGTGAAGTGCCATGTGGCACCCCCAACACAGCTTCCCTCAGGACTCCCACTCTGCCGGCTGCGCAATGAACCAGCGACCCTTAGCACACACCTCCCTTCCCAACACAGCCACTGGTGATAAATTACCTAATCCCACTGTCCCCAGCCAGTTCTATTATACACCCTTGGCTTGTTAAGAACAGCTAGGAAGAGAGAAAGGGGGTTGAATAAAGGCAGCAGAGGCGAGTGTAAAGGGGAAAAAAGACTTACTGACAGAGACACAATGACAAGGGGAAGATATACAGGCCAAACAAAAGCCGGAATCAGCAACCATAATCTTCAGTATCAGAAGGACATATGTGTGCTTCCTTTTGATGTCGAAAAGAGGGGCACTCAGAACCACTTAGAAGTGTATTTCGAGACAATTATGTCTGACAAAATCCATCTAGAGAGAGATCTACAGATAGGTGTCAGCTTCTGAGTGTGTATCATTTCAAAAACATTGCTTACGTTGTTAGAACGGACCAGTCAGAAAATCTTTTTCCGCACTCTTTGTGATGCTGATGTGAGTTTTATGAATCTTTTCTGTACGGACGAATGTGATTCCACCGCTGAACGTGTACATCTCAGGCATCATTTCAGCTGAGCAGAGAAGCAGCTACAAGGGACAATGACATCAGTGCTCAAACCTTCCCAGAGGAATGCTTGTCGTCACTCACACTGGCAAACACACTGCTATGGAAACAGCAAGAGTGTGAGCGTGCATCGGGGTTAAAAGGATACCGCAAGGCGCGCACACACACAAACACAGAGAAATAACTGCAAAACAAAGCGACAGGGGCAGTCCATTGAAAACAATGCTGACACATGACCAATCTGTTCCTGAGCAGCTGTGTAAGGCAGCCTGGATTCACATTTTCCTCTTTAAAAAAAGCACTGCAGTGGTCAACTGAGGACTCAGTGACTTTCTGTCATTGTAAAGGGAAAGTTAGCCAACAGTTTTTTTTCCTGTGAATGTAAGAGAGAGGAAACACAGCAGACCTATTACTGAGCTTGATCTCGGAAGTATCTGAGAGAGATGTGGTTTCAGAGCAGAGTGCTGCCAAAGCCAAGATGGAACATATCCTATCAGACAGCTCACTGTGCCAGCTGACTGCTATGGAAACAGCAAGTGTGTGAGTATGTGTGTGCCAGAAGTTGAAAGGACATGGCAATGCATGGGCACAAATACCACACATGCTTATGTTGCCAACAGTGCTTATGCATGTCCACAGATGCAAACACACACATCTGTTTCTTATCTATATGTCAAACTGAGTATTGAAAAAAGTTGGAAAAGGACAAACAGAGCAGCTGCAGTGCGCACACACACACACACACACACACACACACACACACACACAGGACAGCATTCTACAGACTGGGCAGCCATTCAAACAGCTCTCGGTAACAGTAACCCACAGCAACCCTAAAACCAGCCCCCTTTCCCTTCCTCCTCTAGAGACACAGATCCATTGCCCAGTTAAGGGAGTACCGAATGAACAGACAGAGTGCCCAAGAGTGAAAAGAGGCTGTAACTTTACCCACTCTGCCCTTACTAAAGTGCAGCTCTACCCCCCTCTTAAAGGTTCATGGGGTTAATTATTCAACATGAGAAGGGATTTATGGGAGAACTGAGAGTGGACACAAGCTGGCAGAAACTCCTCACCTCTTTTGTTCAACTCATCCACTCACTCACTGACTTTCAAATATGCACTTATTCCCACGGACAGAGGCATGAGCCGAAGCTCTCTCAGCTCACTCATCCATCACACGCAGCAACACATGGCACACATCGTAACATTATACACAGCTGCACCAGAGTGTACTCATCCCTCTCCACATGTTCGCAGCTTCTCAGCACACACTTAATTTCACTCTACTCTCCGAGCGGCTCTCTTACCGTTGTGGTTGTGCTGCAGGGTCTCAACCATGCTGGCAGAGGAGTCGGTTGCCCCCAGCTCGGCCAGTCTTCGGCTGGTGGCGCTCAGCTCTGACCGCAGGTTGGTCACCTCCTGGCTGGCTGACTGGATTGCACCATCGATGCGCTGGGCCAACTGCTTGTTGTCATCCATCATTTTCAGGATTTTTGCCTGAGGAGGAGAGGGGAATCCAGACAAGGTGTCATGCTGACAAGTTGACCATTTCCCACGGAAGAAGGTGTTCCCAAACAAACCCCTCCTTTTCTGTCTGTTCTCGCTCCCTTTTTATGAGAAAGCCAAGTTAAATCCTCAAAGCAGTTTGTTCCTGTCCGTTAAAGAGAGGCATCCGGCTCAGGGGTAATGTGTATCTGCTGGAGAGGAGAGTACGCACTGGAGATAGTGTCTGTATGGTGGGAGTGTGTCAGTGTGCGAGCATGCCTGTGTGTGTGTCCGGGAGTTCCGTAACTGCATGAGTGTGTGTGAGTGTGTGTGTGTGTGTGAGTGTTAGAGAGCCAGCACTGCCCCCGTGAAATGTGCTCCCCGCAGCTGACTGTTGAAAGGACACAGAGCATTGAGAGATGACAAGTACCTTTTTAAATGGACTGTACCATTTGCAGAGGAAGTCAGGGGGGGAGTGAGCTAGACCATATAAGCACATGGAAATCAGAGGTTCTCAGTTCAGCTGCTTTCAGGAGATAGGGTTGTAAGACTGTGCGATTGTGTGTTTGAACTGACACGAGAAATTTCCTTAAGCCTGTAAAAACTGATTTCAGTGACACACAGCAGCTCTTTCTCTCTCTCTCTCTCTCTCTCTCTCTGTAGTGAATGTACCTCCCTTCATGGACTCATGAACAAAGGGAAGGAAATCATTAGTTTGACAAAGAGGCAGTTGTGGGGAGAAAACAATAATAGTTATGCAAACAAAGCTTTCATCACAGTATCATAGCGAGGTATTCCTCCTGCCAATGCATTTTTAAAGTCCTGCTGTAATATTTGACAAAGGTTAATCATGACAGACTATCTTAATGTTTCTGGCTCAGATTAAGAAATGATTTTTGTCCACTGGAGCGGCAGTGAGGAAAACTGAGTTAGCAATTTTCCTTTATCCTTTATCCAGGGCTTCTATTCCAGGTCCATTTTCCCTAACTGGACAATAAATCACACTAGTATTGACTAAATTAGTTAATTAATCAATTAGTCGATTAACAGAAAATAATTTAAATCAAGCAAAAATCCCAAACATCTGCTTGTTCCAGCTTCTCAAATCTGAGGGTCTGCCATTTTTATGGGTGTTACATAATCGGAAATGAACTATCGTTGGACTTTGGATGGATAAAACAAGCAACTGAAAGGCATTAATGTCGGCTCTGGGAAATTGTCTCTGCATTTTCTTTTTAACATTTTCTGGTGTTTAATAAACTGAATGATTAATTGAAAGAAAAAGAAATCACCAGTCAGACTAGTGGTTTTATAAACTGATCTGACTGCCACACTGCACTGTGAGTGAATTATGAAGTAACAAAAATGTATTTTTCAGTCTATCTTATAACCCTTTCTAAGTTCTAAGTTTTTCTTTTCTCCCTCTTTTCCTTACTTCACAATAGATTAAAAGTCTAAATACAGGCAGCAGACACAGTGACAGCCACCTGTTTACAGATAAGGCTAATCATTCACAGTGAGCGAAACATTAATGCTTCTTTCTTCCCTCTGCAGCACCAAAGCGAGGTGATGTGGAGAGTATCTTCAGTCAGGAGGTTTTAACAGTTGCTTTTATTGTAGCTGAAGCACTGAAAGAGAGTGAAATTATTTTCTGAATGTCAGATATACCGCAGAAATCAAATAAGAGACAGATAGATACTAGAAGCTTATAGGATAGAAAAGCCTCATGATGAATCCAGAGTCGCTCAATACTGAGACTGCAGACCTGACAGGGAATGAACATGTTTGTCAATAGGCATCACATACTAACAAGGCTTAGAGCGCTTTGCGCTTCCTGTGACAACATCCTGCATGTATCTATATAATGATTCATTAGATACTCAGTATCTGATGCATCATCTTAGTGTTTTTGTACACAAGTATGTAAAACTGAAGGAACCAGCATTATGATCCCTAAAATCTTCCTCCATCTACAGTTCACACTATCTTCCACCACACCTACAGCAGGCAATAATGGTTATTTTGCGTGAAACATTTCTGCATTTTTGTTGTGAAACTCAATCAATATCAGAATTTGAGTGAGAATCTATTGACACTTGTGGGGTGGTTTCCTCAAATTAGCAGGAAAACAATGCCAATCAAATCTGATCCAGTCCCACCCACACAGTCCTAATGAAAGAGAAGCTGCTTTCAATAATAACTAAGGATGTCTTTTCCTAACATTGACTTTAACTGTTGTTTATTTAGTCATGAATATTCAGTACAATACAGAAATACTTGAAGCTGCGTTAATCAATATTATTGTACTAACAACGGAAAAATGGCTACATGTAATGTGGAATGGTCTACTGGGCTTTTAGCCTCTTTTAGTTAATTGTTTTAGGTTTACAGCTCATAACTTTACTGCTTCAGTGTTTCACTACTCCTCAGTTTTTAGTGAAAATGCTCAGGTAAATCTCCTGTACCTAACCTGCCAAGCTCCCAACAACACACACACACACACACACACGCACGCACGCACGCACGCACGCACGCACGCACACACACACACACATATATTTTCTATGGGGTTGGTGGAGACCAAAGTAGAGCTAAAAAAAAAAAAGTAGCTAGAAGTAAATATTTTTAACAGAGTTGGAAGCAGAAATTCTTCCCCTCTACAAACCACATAGTGAGTTACAAGTATCATCCATGGTCTGGTTATAGGACACTTCACAGGACACCCACGGTCGCTCCCTGATTGGGTCTCATCAGCTTCGATTACCAATGGTGAAAGCAGCATGAATAACGAATCACAAGCATTAGTGACCTTGTTGTTTTCGTTAGCAGCTGTTGTTCAGTTAAATTCTGACTGTCTTTGCTGTTCCTCGTACGCAGTATTTTGTGCGACTAAGAGTAGACGATCTGCGTCCTGTTTACGTTAAAATGCTGTTTTAAAATGAAAACGTAGTCGTGTGGATGTAGCCTCAGTGTTAAATACAGAGTACTGCTAGAACACATCACATCAGTTTCGTGATCTCATTATCAAATTCCACAACCGTGAAAAGATGTTTTAAACGGTATAGACTTTAATGGTGAGTTGTAAAAATAAGTACTTATAATTAACTACTCACTAAAGTTGCCTTTGGCCCACAGGGGTGAGGAAAACTGCCCCTGTCCCCACTCAATGCCCCACCTCAACCCTGCATTCTCACCTATTATCTGAGTGAAAGTCAAAGCATGCCCACTCACTCAGCAGTACAGCCGCGTTGTTATCGTTTCCCGGGGTTATGTGAACGAAGACCCCAACCCATTCTGCATGTAGTAAGCATAGATCAGATACCACGCTGCACAAGCCAGAGTTGTGAGCAACTGCGGTGTACTCAGAGAAAATGTTATGGTAGCCTCAGGCGCTCTGTGACTGTGACTGTGTGTCTGTGTGTGTGTGTGTGTGTGTGTGTGGGCCTAACACTGACATCCACACAGTCATCTCAAATAAAACTTAACTGACCATCCGCTACAGTATGCAAGCAAGAAAATGGGGAACAATAAATACACACACACACACACACACACACACACACACACACTCTACCCGTTCATCCATCTGCCCAGACACGAGTCACCCCTCCCTCTCAGTAAATGAACATCATGTTGTTATTTATAGACGACCCTGCTGCCGCATATGATACATTAGTCACAGGGGAGGGCAAGCACAGACACACACACACTCACACACACACCCACCAGGGGGCTAATAATCCCAAAGTCATTTGATGTTCATTAATGAAATTCATCTCTTGTCAGGTGTCATAAAAATCTATTGGACCCTTCTGGGTAATTAAGATGCTTTGGTGTCTAAGTGTGTAAGTGGATTTGTTTGCATCTATTTATATATCTAACTATCCCACCCTTACACTGTTTGTCTTGCCTCAGGAGTCTGTCTACAGAATGAAACCTGGAGACACTCTTTGCTGGTATACACATTATGCCACATTATGGTAATACCTGTATGCATGCATGTGGATGTGGTTACATGTATATATTTTACAGAATCTGTATGTTGCAAATGCCAAATATAGTTTATTTGAAATAATCTTGTTACAGTAGCGTATCCCATGGGTAATTTGATCATTTTGTACATGACCATGAAGGTTACATGTAATTGATTTTAACATGAAATATTGCCTTTGTTGCAGCATGAACCTATATGTTTAAGTTTATGCAGAAAGAAAACCTGGGTTTGTAACAACAGTGACATGTATTGGACAGTAGTTTGTTCACTGAACAGGTTTTAGGAACCTGCCAACCTGCTGAGGCAGGTTTCTTCAACTTAAACTAAGCATGACAAACTAATGCACTATCCTCTTTGGTCTCCTTACCAGATAAGACTAGATCAAAACCTGAATAAAAGCATCAGTCAAGACTGCTGGATCTACCTCATGTCCAGTGTCTCTATCCAACAATGAGCAAATAACTGGTAAAAATGTTTCCAGGGTAGACTTACAACTTTGCTCCTGACACCTCAACACCTATGAATGGTGACTGGTTTATTGTGAGTTTAGCTCTAAAAATGAACATGATCCATGTCTGTGTGTACGCCACATAAATGACCCATTGCTCAAGTCTCTCTCTGGGGGTCTTGAATGTGTCTGGTGGTCAGTGGAGTGAATCAGGACCCAGCGGCTGACTGAGGATCAGTAATTAGAGGGTGTGGTGAGGGTTTGGATTAGCATATGAATAGAGACAGTGGGGAGAGGGATCAGTGCTCTGTGACCATTCTTCATTGTGTCTTGGCTGAGTATCCATCCACACAGCCGGCCTTTTGCAGCCAAGTCACCGGCTTCTACACAAGTCATGCAAAAAAGTTGCAGCACTGTATACAGGAGTTCTTAAGCCTGACTGATTAAATTTTTTACTTATTGGGGTGGAATATTGTTGCTAAGCAATAACAGTCAAGATGCACAAGTACATACTGGGATGGTATGTTGCCTGGCAACAATAGAAACCGAATTCAACTGTGGTAGTTAAATTAAATAAGAAACAACAGATCATGAATAAACCTTTGACTGTCAAGTTTCAGCAATGTTTGCTTACCTCACGTTTTTAAGTCAGAAATTTCTTTTTGTACTCTCATAATGATTAAGCTTAATTGTAACTATCTTTGAAAAATTACAGCATTACATTTTTTGTGTATTTTTTTAACTGTTGTTTTCTGTGCCAGTTTTAACATGACAGAAGACATAATCACTATTTTCATACATTTTCCATTTCTCAGATCCATTTCTCTTGTGATGTAAACGATGAGCAGCCACTTTTAAGTAAAGTGCAGGTAAGTGTGCAAATGAAAGGGTGACATGATAAATTGTTGGGTGGTCGACAGAAAAGGCTTTTTACTGAATCTTAC